CAAACTCCTAACCCTCATGATCTGCCCACCTCGGCCTCCCAAATTGCTGGGATTACAGGCGTGAGCCACCGTGCCCAGCCTCTTGCCTGCTTTCTTTTGGAGAGAATGGTCTAAGCAGGAGTCAGGAGTTCGTCCCAGCCGGAACCAATAGAATTAGGGACCCCTGACCTTGCCATGCCCTGCCTGCCCTCTCTGCCCGCCCCTGTTCTTACTTCCAGCTTGGTCTGTGCATGTCTTGCAATTTAATTTCCTTCCATTCCAAAGCAGTCTCTTGCCAGACCTCTGAGGAATTCATAGTTTGCTAGTTTCATCCAAGAAAAGTTTTGAGAGAGACCTTTGTTGTACTGTGAATTTCCTGTTTCACGTCAAGAACCTGCCTTCTAGGAAGGGCGGCCGTGGCAGGGTGGTGTAAAGATTGTTCTTCATGGAAAATTTAGCATTCATTTAATAACTGCATATTTAAAACACCTCCCACATGCCAGACCCTGTGCTGGCGACCCTAGTTGATGGCCTTCCCACAGAGGGGGAGGAGATGGCTAGCGAATGGGTGAGTGCAGTCGGCCTTCACTTTTCTGATGGGCAGATGGCAGGGGCAGGTTCGGGAGGTGGAGACCAGAGGAGAATTTCGTGTCTTCGGGGAAGCCAGTGGTCTCACAGAAATAGTCAGGACATGTTTCTGGTCTGCTTTAAAGAAGGAATGGGGCATAATCCAAGTTAGACTAAGAGGCAGCCCAGTCACCTTTGTCTGGAAGATGTTGAGCTGGCAGCCTGAGTTAGGGGAGCAGAAGTCTCGGCAACTGCAGATGCTTTCAGTCTCACTGTCTCCCAGGCTGGAGTGCAGTGGTGCGATCTCAGCTCGCTGCAAACCCCGCCTCCCAGGTTCATGCCATTCTCCTGCCTCAGCCTCCTGAGTAGCTGGGACTACAGGCGCCCGCCACCTCGCCTGGCTAATTTTTTGTATTTTTAGTAGAGACAGGGTTTCACCATGTTAGCCAGGATGGTCTTGATCTCCTGACCTCGTGATTCACCCGCCTCGGCCTCCCAAAGTGCTGGGATTACAGGTGTGAGCCACTGCGCCCAGCCCTATTTTTTTTTTTTTTTTTAAGAGACGAGATCTTGTTATATTGCCCAGGCTAGTCTGACTCAAGTGATCCTCCCGCCTCAGCCCTCCAAAGTGCCGTGAGCCACTGCGCCTAGCCCCTTGTGGGACTTTTAGAGCAGCTTTTCCTGAGTACCCTGTGAAGAAGGGCCCCCATGGATGTCTGCGTAGGAAACGTCCCCGCTCCCCTCCTTGAAGATTGACAGTGCATAGCCTAACGGCTCTGCCAGGCCCATCAGGAGAGAAATCTATACAAGCCTGCCCAGGGTTTCTGCACGTGAGTTGTCGAGGGCGTCCCTTCCTTTGTAACACCTGAAGCATTCATTACCACCTTGCCCCCTTCTGAGGCATCACAGAACTTCACGCGTTGCCTCCTCCGATCTTGACTTGAAATTGCCATGAGGGTGCGGGCGGTGGACCCTTTCTGGCGGTGGCTGGTTTAAGTTTGGATTTTGAGTTGGATGCCCTTCTTTGTGTTTGTTGAGCGCCACCTGTTGGCCGTAGAGATATTACAGAAACTCGGGGTGGAGGGGTCATGCCAGTTGGGAGTTCTGATCTCCGTGTTGCTGCTGAAGTCTGACTGTGTTTGATGTAAACACCAAAGAAAAGGGAAACATTTCAGCTCACAGAGAGGAAGAAGAGGGGACCCTCAACTAAACCTTCTAGCCTGTAAGGCTAAATTTCCCTGCGTATTGCCGCTTCCCTCATTGTATGTGATTAAAACCCTCTGCCCTCCAGGTTTGCTGCTACCCCCTGCCTTCAGACTCCCTTTTTTGGTTGGTTATTTTTGTTTGTTTGTTTGTTTTTTGAGACAGGGTCTTGCTCTTTCACTTAAGCTGGAGTGCAGTGGTGCCATCATGGCTCACTGCAACCTCAAACACCTGGGCTCAAGCGCTCCTCCTGCCTCAGTCTCCCCAGTAGCTGGGGCTACAGACGCATGCCACCATGCCCGGTTCACACATTGAGGGCTTTTCACTGCCTCGATCAGGCTGAGTTCTGCTCACTGGGGCCACCACAGGCCAGGCAGAAGGAACTGCGTGGGCTTTGTCTCCTCTCGGCTGAGCTGGCTTTCCTTATCCTCTAGGCCTCTGCTTAAGCACCACTTCCTCCAGAAAGCCTTCCCTCACTGCTCCGGCCAGGTTGGTTATCCACCTTGTGCCCACAGCCATCTGCCCTTCAGGACGCTGAGCACACAGGCATGACGTGTGGCCCACCAAAGACATGTTGCATGAGGAGAACCTCCCTGCCTCGGCTTTCCCTGCCTTCAGTCCTCAGCTCTTCACAGCGCAGAGTGGATGAGGCTTCCGCAGCTACGTGGATCCCACCCTCAGGGCTGGTCTGGCACTTGGAGCTGACTTCTGCCCAGGTCTCTGTTCCTTGTGTTGGCAGAGGGCACCGGTGTTACCTTTTCCACCTGTGGAGGAAGAGGAACCACATGGCAATGTGGCAAACATAAGAGAAAGAACTTCAGGGCGGGGGTTGTTAAAAACATCGTGCCCTTCGATATATGCACCTACTGTGTATCCACGAAAATCAAAACTAAATTTTTTAAAATTATGCCTTTTGCTGGGCACAATGGTGCATACTATAATCCCAGCAATTTTGGAGGCTGAGGCAGGAGGATCACTTGAGGTCAGGAGTTCAAAACCAGCCTGGCCAACATGGTGAAACCCCGTCTCTCCTAAAAATACAAAAATTAGGCCAGGTGTGGTGGCTCATGCCTATAATCCCAGCACTTTGGGAGGCCGAGGCGGGTAGATCAGCTGAGGTTGGGAGTTCCAGACCAGCCTGACCAACGTGATGAAATCCCGTCTCTACTAAAAATACAAAATTAGCTGGGTGTGGTGGCACATGCCTGTAATGCCGACTATTCGGGAGGCTGAGGCAGGAAAATTACTTGAACCCGGGAGGCAGAGGTTGCCGTGAGCCGAGATCGCGCCACTGCACTCCAGCCTGGGCAACAAGAGCGAAACTCTGTCTCAAAAAACAAACAAACAAAAAATTAGGCTGATGTGGTGGTGGGCACCTGTAGTCCAAGCTACTCGGTTGGCTGAGTCAGGCAAATCTCTTGATCCCGGGAGGCAGAGGTTGGAGTGAGTCAAGATCTCGCCACTGCACTCCAGCCTGGGCAACAGAGCGAGGTTCTATCTCAAAAAAAAAAAAAAAAAAAAATTTATGCCTTTCAGTAATAACTTAACTCTAGATCATTGAGATGGTTATTAATATCTTTGTGTTTGCTTTAGGGCTTACCAGTTGTGTGTCTGTCTAAGCATGCATGTGTGTGTGTATTTTACTGTACACAAGAGTGCTTTCATTTAGTCCTTATTAACACACTCTGGAGGAGGGGATGTCATTCTGATTTTACCCAGGGCACTGCTGTGGTAGGCAGCAGGTACGCCATGACACAGCGGTGGCTGTCCAGTGCCGTAGCTGCCTGCTGTACTGCCAGTGAGGCCAGGCCATCAGCATGGAGGTGGGTTAGACGAGCCTTTGAACTGGGGAGAGAAGGAAGGAAGAAGGCGTGTGACTGCTCTGAGTCCCTAATCGGTTGCACAGAAGCTGCTGCTGTCTGCGTGTCTCTTTTTTTTTTTTTTTTTTTTTGAGACGGAGTCTTGCTCTGTAGCCCGGGCTGGAGTGCAGTGGCCGGATCTCAGCTCACTGCAAGCTCCGCCTCCCAGGTTTACGCCATTCTCCTGCCTCAGCCTCCGGAGTAGCTGGGACTACAGGCGCCCGCCACCTCACCCGGCTAGTTTTTTGTATTTTTAGTAGAGACGGGGTATCACGGTGTTAGCCAGGATGGTCTCTCGATCTCCTGACCTCGTGATCCGCCCGTCTCGGCCTCCCAAAGTGCTGGGATTACAGGCTTGAGCCACCGCGCCCGGCCTGTTGGCAAATTTTGGCTTGCCACGTGGCCTTTCTGAGTAGGACTGGAGAAGGGGCAGGACTGTGGCCTGTGGTCAGATCAAACCTCCACAGCCCCACTGTGATATGGGCCAGAAATAGTGCCTTGCCCATCTCAAGCCATCTGAAAAAGAGAAACCCTATGCCGGCTGCCCAGAGATGGCTTGGAAAACTGAGCTGCCCAAGACGGCTGTGCCACCACGGAGGCTGGATTTACGAGTGCTCTTGACATATAGTGAAGAATTGTTAATTGAACCCCTACTATGTGCCAAGCCACCTAACAGTCTTCCCTAGAGCAGCTGCAGTGTCAACAGGGAAAGGCGCGTGTGTGCAGATACTGCTACATAAGAGCTCCTGTGAGACCGTCCCAGAGTGGAGGAGAGCAGAGGGACCCAGCAGGAATAGGCAGCAGGCTGGGAGAGGCCAGGCCGGCTCAGAGGAGATGGTGTCAGGGGCAGCATCTTGAAGGATTAGAAGGTGGCTGACTGGAGGGACATCATGAGTGAGGACCATGTCAGAGGCTCTGGGAGGCAGGAGGGGCCCTGCCCTGCAGGCACTCAGGCCAGTGGGATGCTCAGGTACTTGGATTGTGAATGCCTCGTGGGGGCTGGTGGCAAAGCAGGCGGGCCACGACCAGGTCACAGGAGCCTGGGTTTCACTCTGTGGTCAACAGATTTCTTTTAATTTTTAGTTATGGAAAATTTGTAGGATATGCCAAAGTAGGTGGAAGAATGTGGTGAACCCCACATGCTGCCGCCGCGCACACCAGTCGCTACCCCTGCGGCCAGTCCTGCCCTCCGCACCCTGACAGCATCCCCGCCACGCCCTGCCCTGTGTGGCTCTGAAGAAATCCCCCAGTGACCTGAATTCCATGAAGCCCGGTGTCTGGCTGGGGGTGGGTCAGTCAGGAGTTTGGTCCTGGAATGATTGGGTGGCACTTTGTAGTTTCACTTCAATTTCAGAGTAATCACTGAGTCTCCCTGTTTGCCTTGCCTTTCAGTGGGAAGTTGGTGTCTCCAAAGTGGAAGAATTTCAAGGGCCTGAAGCTACAGTGGAGAGACAAGATCCGGCTCAATAATGCCATCTGGCGGGCCTGGTACATGCAGTGTAAGTGCCGCCCAGCCTAGGCTCCGGTGGTGGTCAGAACTCCATGGCCTGGAGGCCTGGGCACCCAGGGGCTAGAGTCTGCTCCTGAGACCTGGTGTTTCTAACAGAAGTTCAGTCTGTGCAGACAGGAAGCCCAAGCCAAGTCCTAGGGGAGTGGACATTTACTGGCTATCAGGCCCAGCAGAGGGGTGGCATCTGAAGAGTCAGGGAGCAGGCCTAGGAAGACTCGGGCACGGGCCTTCTCTCTCCAGCCCAGGTGTCGTGGACCTGGCAGCTTCTTCGGGAGATGAGTGTGCTGGGGCAGGCTTGTGTTGGGCTGGCCTTTCTCTGAGTAGCCACACTGCCTTTCTGGCTGAGGCGTTATTGACAGATTCCTCCCCTTTCACCTGGATTCCTTTATTCCCCTGAAATCTCCTTTTCCTAGGGAAGGAGAAGGAAAGGGTACCGGGGAATATGGTCCGCCCTGGGGGAGGGGTGCGGCAGACGGGCTGGGGCTCCCTCAGGGGTCTGGATCATGGTATGACTGTCACCCTCTCTCTGCTCAGATCTGGAGAAGCGCAAGAATCCTGTGTGCCACTTTGTGACGCCCCTAGACGGCTCTGTGGACGTAGATGAGCACCGCCGGCCGGAGGTACTTGGCAGTGACCAAGGGTGGTTGAGAATGGAAACATACCAGCACCTTACCAGGAGCAGCTCACCGCGGGCTAGTCCTGCAGGAGAGGCTGCAGAGGGGAGTACAGGGGCCAGGCCTGGGAGCTGGTGGCCTCTGGCAACCCCAGGCTGCAGAGCCTCCCCCTTCTCAGAGGGATTGGCCCAGGGACTGAGGGGGTTAATATCTTTTCTGTTAATTTTTAAAGTGTGTGTCTATGTGTGATTATGCATGCACAGGAAGTGTCTAGAAAAATATACAGACGTGTCTTTATTAAGAGACTTCAGGAACCTCTGGGGAGTAGGATTAGGGCTGCCAGATGAGGGGGGGATGTTTTCTTCACTGCATACTCTTCTGCATTGCTTTAATTTTGTCTAGGCATGTCTCACTGTTAACGATAAAGGGGAATTTAGAAGGTAAGCTAATGAAAGGCAGTTTTGAGACAGTCAGGTATAATCTGGTATTAGACAGTATCAAGGGATATCATTTTGTTGGGTATGGCAATATTGTAATCAGTTCTTTTTAACAGAAAAGCATCTTCGCTGTCGCTGTCAGGGACACACACAGAGTGTTTGTAGGTGAGGTGATTTGGACCTTGAGATCAGAAAGTGAGGCAGCCCCAGGCGCTGGGGCTCCTTACCTCTAGAGCTCGGAGGCTGTCATGCCAGGCATCCACGCTGGCATCACGCGAAGGTTGGATGAGAGGCTCCTAGAGGGCACATTCCACGTGAAACTTCCTGGAATTGGCTGTTCATTTTTGCCCTTTGAATGTGGCAGAGGCTGTGGGGAAGGAGCATTTATGGGGGACTCGGGAGTTTCTGCAGCGTTCCCCTGCTGCTTCCTCTGCTGGAGTGTTCTGCTCTCACCCCGTCCTCCTGGTCAGAGCCTCAGGACCGTGCCCCCAAGGCCTTTGGATGCCTTAGGTCTTGAGATGAAAGCGCATTGTTAGCTAGAGGGCCTGCTGTGGCACAGCAGAAGTGGGACGTACTTTCTGAGTGATGTGGTAGCCACCGTGGGGTTTCCAGCTGGATTGCCTAAGGCCTGATTGTAGTGCCGGATACTTCTCGGTACACCAGTTGAGCTTTACTGATCAAGCAGACCCCCTCTTTTCACTCTGGCCTCTGTCCCTGTCCTAGGCCATCACCACGGAAGGGAAGTACTGGAAGAGCCGCATCGAGATTGTGATCCGGGAGTATCACAAGTGGAGAACCTACTTCAAGAAAAGGGTATCTGGCTGGAGTGTTCAGGCAGCCCGCCTAGGGAGGGAGCCGGCAGAGTCCCTGGTTCAGAGCCCTGGCCGAGGCTGTAGGCTCCACAGCCGCCCCACCTGGATGTGGAGCATCAAGCAGTAAATCTGGGGCCCAGTGTGCCAGACTAGCCCAGGCGATGGCCTGCCTCAGTCAGGTCATCTTTGCTCTCAGTTTCTCCATCTGTGCATTGGGTGGGAGTCTCCTTTGTGCAGGCATCGGCCTGGGGATGGTGTGAGCAGGACCCCTGCCTGCCTCCCCAAGAGTTCTGTATATTCTAGAGCCCTTGGGCCCTCCTAGGGCCATTGGTGACCGCCGTGTCCTGTCCCTTTGCCCACAGCTACAGCAGCACAAGGATGAGGACCTCTCCAGCCTGGTCCAGGTGGGTGAGCCTGGGAGCTCTGAGGACCTCCACTTTGACACGAGACAGCAGGGACTTCGGTGGCCCACCGGGGAGCCCTGGAAAAGGTGGCAGGCCCTCCCTGGAGTCTCAGGAATGGCTCAAGAAGCAGTCCAGCTCTCCATTGGGTGGGCTGGAGGGAGCCACTCTCCGAATGCCTCCACCCTGCTGCCTCACTTCCACGGGGCAGCCCTGTGTTGAATTTCCCCAGCTGACAGGTGTGGGAATTCTTCGTCCCACTGTCAGTTACTCTTTGATGCTTCCTCCCCCATGTTGGTGTTGTGTTAGGACGATGACATGCTATATTGGCACAAGCACGGGGATGGATGGAAGACCCCCGTCCCCATGGAGGAGGACCCCCTGCTGGACACAGACATGCTCATGTCGGAATTCAGCGACACCCTCTTCTCCACGCTTTCTTCACACCAGCCGGTGGCCTGGCCCAATCCCCGGGAAATAGGTAACCCAAACCAGGGCCTTGGGCTTTGAACAGCCAGCCGCTTCCTTCTCTGCCAGGCCTCCTCTGGGCCAGGGTTCCTTCAGGGCCGTCTCTGAGCTGCTGCGCATCACGGTTGGGGGCAGGCAGTAAGGAAGGGAAGGATGGCTGGCCTCATTTGACATCCAGGCTGCACATACCGAGTGGGTGGGTCTGCAGAGTGGGCCTACTGGGCCGCTGCCATTCCCGTAGTGCCATGGTGGGAGGATAGCAGCAGGGTCTAGTCTGAGTCATTGGCACATTTCGGATGCTGTTCCCTTCACGGGGGACATGTGCCATGCCTAAGCCAAGGCAGCCGGGCCGTGACTCATACTAAAGAAAATCGGAAGCACTCCCGGGTGTGACCCCTCACCTTGGTGGCATTCAGTCTTCCAGTTAACCCCTCAGGGAAGAGCCCTAAGATTGAAAATTAGAACAGTGTTGGGGGAGGTCTCTGTTCTCTGTTGAGCTCTTCACAGCTTCCTGGGGTGTCCATTCCCTGATACTCAATTTTACCTTCCTGGCAAAAACACTTTCCTGCCTTCTGAGGGTTCGGAATGGCCACGAACCCACGAGAAGGTAGAAATCCCAGCCAGCTCCTTGGAAGACTCTAGAATGTGAGCAGGGCCAGGAAGGTCTGTTCCAGGCCTTTTTTGTGTTCCTGCAACATTGTCTGAGAAGACAAAATGGTTCCTCTCTCTGTGATTCTTGCAGCACATCTGGGAAATGCAGACATGATCCAGCCGGGACTGATTCCTTTGCAGCCTAACCTGGACTTCATGGACACCTTCGAGCCTTTCCAGGGTGAGGACCAGAGGCAGACAGAGCATGGCTGCCTGCATCTCCCCCAGCCCAGCACAGAGCAGATTGCTGCCTTCCTTTAAGAGCAAGACTTGGTAGAATGGGCAAGGGGGCGAGCACAGAATTTTTTAAAAAACTAAACTGTTTTTTGTAGTAACTGCAAGGTCTGGGAAGTTTTTCTGGGACATTGTTCAGCAAGGAATTTGGTCCTGGTTTTAGCTGTGACCGTAAGCAGTTCTCCCTCGAAGCAGCAGAGGGCGCTGACGACACAGCCAGCTCCCTGCCAAGGCCCTGCAGTTAGATGGGTCCTTGAGCCCCTGCTGTTGTGAGAGCAGCAGAAACGCCAGGCCTGGGAGTGTTTCAGAGCCCAGGATAGTTGCCAACATGTGTGGTTCCAACCAGAGCCCCCTTTCTACAGAAAGAAAAGGTGTCTCTAAGGGTAATGCCTCTGGCCATGGCACCCCCTGGGCAATGTGGGCTTTAGGGGTTTAGTCCTTGATTTGTTTGAGTCTTTTTTTTTTTTTTTAGAGACAGGGTCTTGCGCTGTCACCCAGGCTAAAATGCAGTGGCTCAATCATGGTTCACTGCAGCCCTGAACTCCTTGGCTCAAGTGATCCTCCCACCTCAGCCTCCTGAGTACCTGGGTGGTTCACTGCAGCCCTGAACTCCCGGGCTCAAGTGATCCGCCCTCCTCAGCCTCCTGAGTACCTGGGACTACAGGCACACACAAACACACCCAGTTCATTTCTTCATTTTTTGTAAAGATGGGGTCTCCTATGTTGCCCAGGTGATCCTCCTGCCTCTGCTTCCCAAAGTGCTAGAATTACAGGTGTAAGCCATCACACCCAGCCTGTTTTAGTCTTTGTTATTTTGAGACAGAGCCTGGCTCTGTAGCCCAGGCTGAAGTACAGTGGCAAGAACACAGCTCACTGCACCCTCTAACTCCTGGGCTTAAGCGATCCTCCCGCCTCAGCCTCCCGTGTAGTTGGGACCACTGGTGGCACCAACCAGGCATGGTGGTTGGCACCATTTTTTTGTTTGTTTGTTTTTTGAGATGGGAGTCTCACTCTGTCGTCAGGCTGGAGTGCAGTGGTGCAATCTTGGCTCATTGCAACCTCTGCTTCCCAGGTTCAAGCCATTCTCCTGCCTCAACCTCCTGAGTAGCTGGGACTACAGGCATGCGCCACCACGCCGGGCTAATTTTTGTATTTTTAGTAGAGATGGGGTTTCACCATGTTGGCCAGGATGGTCTCGATCTCTTGACCTCAAGATCCGCCCACCTTGGCCTCCCAAAGTGCTGGGATTATAGGCATGAGCCACCATGCCTGGCCCTGTTTGAGTCTTGATTCCAGCAAATGCTGGGCACACTGAGCTCAGAAGACCCCTGCTGTTGTTTTTCAGACCTCTTCTCTTCTAGCCGCTCCATTTTTGGCTCCATGCTACCTGCATCTGCCTCAGCACCTGTACCAGATCCCAACAACCCACCTGCACAGGTAGAGGAAGCTGGGGGATGGGTGGGGGAAGGGGCTGGCAGGCACAGGGCTACTCATCAAAGGTTTGCTGCCGGAGCAAGGCTAATGACATAGCCACACAGTCACCAGCAAAGCGTCAAGCGGTGCTACACCAGTGCTAATGTGCAGAGGCACGATTCCAGCCCTCTGACAGCATCCTTCAGCACCCATGGGTGGGAGACTCTGTCGGTCCAGGTATGCTCCTGCCTGAGTGCCAGGTAACCTATGTGCAGCTAGCTCTGCTCCGACTAATTAACATGGAATTAGCTAGACAGAGAAGAAAAGCATGGATTACTAATAAAAATATCTTCTGTATATTTCTTTCACGTTTTACTAAGCAATCCAAAAAGTTGCTTACAAGTGCTTGGGCTACAGAGCTGAGCGAGGTACCATTCTTTGTCCTTATGGAGCCCTCATGCTTATGCCCATGACCAGTTAGATACTGGTAAGCTGGCATCATCTTCAAACAGGCTCCAGGAAGAATTTCTACTGCAGAGACTGGGATCTGAACCATTCCTCATAGCTTTTCTTATTTAGGAAGAGGTGGCCTGATGACCAGTTGACACGTGAAATTGTCCTCGGGGAGCCCTGAGCAGCTGCAGTCCAGGCTACCTCTGCTCAGTAACAGAAGATGGCAGAGACTTTGGGAGACTCTGCTGGACTCCAGAAACAAGATATTCCCAGGCTGCTAGCCAGCTGTGTGAGGGCCGTTGCCTTATCTGAGCTCTGAGTTACTTAGTTTTTAATGGAAACAAGACCCCCGCAGACACGCAGGGAAACACAAATCCCTGTCCCCAGATCAGCAGCCATGGGCATGGAGACATGGCCTTTGTGCCTCTGTCCTAGCGCCTGGCCTGTGTAGTTGGACTTGGCAGTGTGCAGTGCTAGAAAGGAATTGTCTGACCCCAGTGTTGCTTCCTGGCTCCTCTTTTCCTTTTTCAGGAGAGCGTCCTGCAGACCACCGCCCTCCCCACTGTGAGCCTGCCTGACAGCCTCATCGCGCCCCCCACCGCCCCGCCCCTGGCTCACGTGGACGGGCAGAGCTGTGAACACACCTCCCGGGCTGAGGACCCGTTTATCCAGCCCACGGACTTCGGTCCCTCAGAGCCACCACTGAGTGTCCCACAGCCCTTCCTCCCCGTCTTCACCATGCCCCTGCTGTCTCCCAGCCCCGCTCCACCACCTGTCTCCCCCGTGTTACCGTTAGTTCCTCCTCCTGCCACTGCCCTGAACCCCCCAGCTCCACCCACCTTCCACCAGCCACAGAAGTTTGCTGGAGTGAGCAAAGTGCCGTCTGTCATCACCCACACGGCCTCCGCCACCCTCACCCATGACGCCTCTGCCACCACCTTCAGCCAGAGTCAGGGCCTTGTGATCACCACCCATCACCCTGCCCCATCAGCGGCCCCCTGTGGACTGGCACTGTCTCCTGTCCCCCGGCCTCCTCAGCCACGGTTAACTTTTGTGCACCCCAAACCTGTATCCTTGACTGGGGGCAGGCCTAAGCAGCCCCACAAAATAGTGCCTGCTCCCAAACCAGAGCCCGTGTCCTTGGTGTTGAAGAACACCTGCATCGCCCCAGGTGAGCCAGGTGGGGGAACTCGGTGTGGGGCTCCCCCTGACCCAGAGCAGAGGGATGTTTTCCCATCCCAAAGGCTTTCAAACTTGTGACCACCACCCCCACCCTGGTGTGCACATGTGCGCGCATGCACACACAACCACTTAAATGAAACAAAAGTGGCATTAAATAATACATGTCCATGATCTAGTCCATTTTCTGTGCTCTATCTTTTTTTGTTTTTTTTGTTTGTTTTTTTTTTGAGACAGAGTCTTGCTCTGTCACCCAGGCTGGAGTGCAGTGGCATAATCTTGGCTCACTGCAACCTCCCCGTCCTGGGTTCAAGCGATTCTCCTGCCTCAGCCTCCCGAGTAGCTGGTATTACAGGTGTGTGCCACCATACTCGGCTAATTTTTGTTTGTTTGTTTGTTTTTTGAGACAGAGTCTCACTCTGTCGCCCAGCTCTAGTGCAGTGGTGTGATCTCGGCTCACTGCAACCTTCGCCTCCCGGGTTCAAGCGATTCTACTGCCTCAGCCTCTTGAGTAGCTGGGATTATAGGCACCCATCACTACGTCCAGCTAATTTTTTGTATTTTTAGTAGAGACAGGGCATCACCATGTTGGCCAGGCTGGTCTTGAACTCCTGACCTTGTGATTCACCCTCCTCAGCCTCCCACAGTGCTGGGATTACAGGCATGAGCTACCACGCCCAGTCCATTTTTTTTATTTTTAGTAGAGATGAGGTTTCATCATGTTGGCCAGACTGGTCTCGAACTCGTGATCTCAGGTGATCTGCCCACCTCGGCCTCCCAAAGTGCTAGGATTACAGGTGTGAGCCACCGCACCCAGTCTCTATTCTCTTTTTTTTCTTTTTTTTTTTTGAGATGGAGTTTCACTGTTGTCGCCACGACTGGAGTGCAATGGCGCAATCTTGGCTCACTGCAACCTCCGCCTCCCGGGTTCAAGTGATTCTCCTGTCTCAGCCTCCTGAGTAGCTGGGATTACAGGCATGTGCCACCACACCTGGCTACTTTTGTATTTTTAGTAGAGACGGGGTTTTACCATGTTGGCCAGGCTGATCTCGAACTCCTGACCTCAGGTGATCCACCCACCTCGGCCTCCCAAAGTGCTGGGATTACAGGTGTGAGCCACAGCACCCAGCCTCTCTATCTTTTTTTAAAGTTAGTCACAACCTACAATGTGAAAACACATGGTCCTGGCTATCTCTTTACTGGTTCTATAACATATCTCCTTCAAGAAGTCACACAAAGTTTTAGGTGCCTTGGTGCCTTCGTCTTCCTGTCCCCTGCAGTTGGAAACAAGCTGTCTCACTGGCAGAGAGGCAGCCTCTGCAGGGTGGGCCAAGCCCTGTGGCCCAGGGCTGCGCCTGAACCTCCTCCTTGTCCTGGCAGCTGCCTTTTCAGGACAACCACAAGCGGTGATCATGACGTCAGGGCCTCTGAAGAGAGAAGGGATGTTGGCCTCCACGGTGTCCCAGTCCAACGTGGTCATCGCACCTGCTGCCATCGCCAGGGTGAGGAGGGCCCTGGACAGACCCGCCGTGTCCTTCTCACCCTGTTCCTGGGCAGCCCTCACCTGAGACGATGGGTGTGCCGCCCTGCTGTGCATCAGCGGTCGGGGGTGACCTCTCTCCCATGTCACTGCAGGCTCCTGGGGTCCCGGAGTTCCACAGCAGCATCCTGGTGACAGATCTCGGCCATGGCACGAACAGCCCGCCTGCCCCCATCTCCCGGCTCTTCCCGAGCACAGCGCAAGACCCCCTGGGGAAGGGCGAGCAGGTCCAGCTGCATGGGGGCAGCCCCCAGGTCACTGTCACAGGGCCCAGTGAGTGTTCACTCAGCAGGATGGTTGGGACATCACAAGGGAAGTAACTGGGCCTGCTGTGGATCATGGGGGGTGCTTGCTGGGTCCTCAGGACGGAGCCTGGGCTTAGAACATACAGTGAGGTCTTATAAGCCTGCCAGTAACACAGTCTGGGAACATGCTCTGTGGGTGGCAGGATGACCTGTGGTGGCACTGGCAGGGCGAAAAGTAATGGGCACGTGGCCGTGTAGGTGACCAGTGTGCTCAGGGAGTCCCAGCTGACTGCCCACGAAGGCCTGGCACTGAGCTGCTGTTCTCACCCAGAGAAGGGATTGAGGAGCCCTGGGGTTCCTGTCTCTGGGAACTTCAGCCTGGGGTTGCTGTGGCCACAGAAGCCACCCAGCCTCATCTGGGCACCAACATGGCCTTCCCCAGCAGGTCTCTGCACTACAGGTCTGTGCCCCATGCCCACTCTTGGGCCATCCAGGGGTGAGACAGTCAGAGCAGGACTGATTTTGCCCAGGGACATCTGAGGAGCCAGCAGGCCAGGTCAGGGACGAATGGTTTGCCCGAGGCTGTGCTGCTGGTAGAGGGTGTAAGCAGATGGGGCCCCTTCCCTCAAATGCCTGCCGTGCCAGGAAGGGAAATGGAAATGGCCTCTTTTCTTAAATAAAAGCATGGTGTAGGCCGGGTGCAGTAGCTCATGCCTGTACGCCCAACACTTTGGGAGGCTAAGGCAAGTGGATCACTTGAGGTCAGGAGTTCAAGACCAGCCCGACCAACATGGCGAAAAATAAAAATAAATTTTTTTTTGTCCCTACCTAATAATAATAATAATAACAATAACAACAGGGTGTAGTGGCATGCACCTGTAGTCCCAGCTACTCAGGAGACAGAGATGGGAGAACCACTTGAACCCAGGAGATGGCGGTTGAAGTGAGCTGAGATGGAGTCACTGCACTCCAGCCTGGACGGCAGAGCGAGACTCCGTTTTAAACAAACAAAAGCATGGTGTAACTGCTCCTGGAACTCTGTGAGCGAAGAGTTGTCTCCCTCCTCAGGAACACACGAATGAGGGAGGGTCTCTGACTTAGCAGGCTCGGCCAGCAGGGGCCTTTTCCAAGGACAGGCTTTGGAGAATAAGGACTCTTCAGTCTGGAAAGACAAAAACACAGGAGAGTTGGGAGTCAGGCCCCTCAAATAATCGAGGGAGAGGTTAGGGCCAACCATTGCCTTGGTCTCTGGAGTCTCAGAACACAGAACTTAGAGCCTGCTGTACAGCTTCACGGGGAGTTTGGGGAAAATAATCCAACAGAGAGGAAAGGAAGCTGAGGCATTTGTTACAGTAAAGCGGGATGGGCCAAGAAGGCCGAGTCCACCTGGGGCCAAGCGCGGTCGCTCACTCCTCTAATCCTAGCACTTTGGGAGGCTGAGGCAGGTGGATCGCTTGAGCCCAGGAGATTGAGACCGGCCTGGACAATATAGTGAGACCTTGGCTCTATAAAGAATGTTTTTTAATTTAAAAATATTATAATAATAAGGAGCCCACCTGCGAAATATCTCCTAAAGTGACACCAGTGACTGGAACACGTCACACAGGGTGGCTCCATCGTGTTCTGTGTGGGTTAAGGGTGTTTTTGTTGTTGTTATGAATTTAAAATTTCTGGGGAGTGAATAAGAAAAATCTAAGGAAGCATGTGTGTGCAGTTTAAAGAACCAAGTGCAGCACATGGGTAGCAGCGAGCACCTCATAACCCTGCAGAGACCCCGGGCTGCCTCCTGGTGGCTTTGAGGGGCCAGGGCTCCGTCCCCCGTCCCTCAGAGGAGTCTGTCCTTACCAGGTCGGGACTGCCCAAACTCAGGGCAGGCCTCTCCATGTGCATCGGAGCAGAGCCCCAGTCCTCAGTCTCCCCAGAACAACTGCTCAGGGAAATCCGACCCCAAAAATGTGGCTGCACTAAAGGTACCGCATGTCTCTCTTGGGTCTTGGTTCCCTTGGGAGGAGGGGAGAGGAGTGCAGAAGGACGTCAAGGAGCTGTGTCTGTCTGGAAGGGAGACCTCAGACCCAGCCAGAGCTGCCCAGGCAGGGGTGGATCAGAAATGGGCTTCTCCTTGCCCCATCCCACAAACCAGCCCTGTGGGGACGGTGGGCCCGCTGGAGGCTTCTGGGTAGGCCCCAAGCCGGGGAACCAATGCTGAGTCCACGTAGTATGGCAGGTACCGCATCAGTTGCAGGAAGGGTGTGGCCACCACCAAGGCTGGGCTGGGTGGGGAAGGCAGGGCTTGCAGCACCTGGGATGCACCCGTGCAGCCCCGCGGTTCCCAGCCCTGGCTGTGCTCCATTCTGCAGAGCAGGTTTTCTATGGTTCCCCGTCTTGTCCCCGCGGCTCCTCATTGGAGCCTTCAGCTTCTTGTCATGCCCTCCTCCCACGTAGCTCTCTAGCCCTGGCCCTTGGGCACCCAGCATCAGCGTAGGGAGTGAGGAGGGGTGGGCAGTGTGCCTGCAATGTGCCTGTCTCAGTGACCAGCGGGTTCTCCAGCAGAACCGGCAGATGAAGCACATCTCAGCTGAGCAGAAAAGGCGCTTCAACATCAAGATGTGCTTCGACATGCTCAACAGCCTCATCTCCAACAATTCCAAGCTGGTGAGTTGCCAAGAGTGTGGGCCGTGGCAGGGCAGGGGAGCTGGCAAGACGTGCTCCCTGCGTGGTCATTGCTGGTGGCAGGCCTGCTGGCTGTGGGTGCCGCCTCCAGCCACCTGCCCCTTCTGCAGACCAGTCATGCCATCACACTGCAGAAGACCGTGGAGTACATCACCAAGCTGCAGCAGGAGAGGGGCCAGATGCAGGAGGAGGCCCGGCGGCTTCGGGAGGAGATCGAGGAGCTCAATGCCACCATCATGTGAGCTTCTGGGCCTTGGGGCTCCAACCAGGCACCCCAACCCCACGCAGGGCCCGCCTCAGAGGTGGTGGGACCCTGTGGCCTCGTCACTGGTCGATGTCTCTTTGCTGCAGTAGTTCTGCTCGTTGTCACCCTCCTACCACAGACCTCTCTTCCCTGTGCCTGGCTGCAGCACGGCACTGGGCCAGCCCTGTCCATCTTGTGTCCCAAGGCCCTTATTGGCCACTGGCTGCTCCACAGCTCCCACGGCTCCTGTCATTTCAGCTCCTGCCAGCAGCTGCTCCCTGCCACGGGAGTCCCCGTCACCCGGCGCCAGTTTGATCACATGAGAGACATGTTTGACGAATACGTGAAAAGCCGGACCTTGCAGAATTGGAAGTTCTGGATTGTATCTTTGGGTTTTCTTTTTGCTCTTCCCCGCCCCCAGCCAATGCACTGAAGCCACAGACCTTGGCACTGTAGTTACTTTAGAAAGACTCTTTAAATGCCTGTCAGCGAGCTCCTCACGACAGGCAGTGCTAGTGTCTATCTCGGGAGAGAGTGGTCCGGCCTGGCCTGCTGTGTGGGCTGGTGCTGCTGATGGGGCTTCAGGGTGCTTTGCAGGAAGGGCTAAGGAGGCAGAACGGTGGGCTTCGCTCTCTAGGTCCTTAAGAAATCAGGACAATGCTAAAGCCACTTGCAGAAGGTGCAGGGGAAGGAGGAGTGGTCCCACAAAGCCTGGCAGCAGCCAGCTTGGTCCTTGAAGCCACAGGGAGGGTGAGTGCCACCCCTGCTGTGACAGGCGGAAACCAGGACTCCCTCCACCGAGTGGCAGAGCCCAGTCTGAAGCCTGACGGAGCATGTCCACCTCTGTCCACCTCTGGGGGCTCTTGGGCCAAGGCCACCCTGCACTTGGCCTTCCAGGTGGCAGCATGGCTCTTACGGGGAGTGGTTCCTGCCTGGTCACTCCCCACCCTGCCACTGCCCTGCCTCTGAGTAAACAGTCAGCACATGTGTTGGGTTGGCTGCGGCATTGAGGCTCGGGTCTGACAGTCAGCGGTGACGGTCGTGCGGGAGGAGAGAATCCCAGTTGCAGCTGTCGGGCAGGGCAGGCACAGCACCTGTGTGTGCGGGAAGCGGCAGGTGTTTTTGTTTGTATCTTTTTTTCCCCTGAGACAGGGTCTCACTCTGTTACCCAAGCTGGAGTGTAGTAGTGCAGTTACAGCTCACTGCAGCTTTCACCTTCCCAGACTCAAGTGATCCTCCTGCCTCAGCCTTCTGAGTAGCTGGAACTACAGGCTCACACTACTATGACCGGCTAATTTTTGTATTTTTAATGGAGATGGGGTTTCACCATTTTGGCCAGGCTGGCCTCGAACTCCTGACCTCAGGTGATCCCCCCGGTCTTGGCCTCCCAAAGTGCTGGGATTACAGGTGTGAGCCACCATGCCCGGCCATAAGAGGCAGTTTTTAAATGAACAGGTGACAGCCTCCAGCTCTGATTCCCTGTGTTGCTGTTTTACTGCCTGCCCTGGTCCTGATCCCTGTCATTAATAGAGCTGGGTGGCATCTGGAATGAATTGGAGCCTCTTTGATGAAATGGCACACTCCCCATCATCAGGCTGGGGTGGGGGAACTGTGGGCGCCGTCCTGATCAAAGTCCAAGAGGAAACATGCCTCAGGCCTTCACTAAGATGGTCTAGGAGACTGGCATGCATTTTTGCATTTAACACAGAAGGCAAACACCACTTTCAGGCAGATGGCTCCTGCCTTTATTTATTATTATTTTTGAGAACAGAGTCTTGCTCTGTCGCCCAGGCTGGGGTGCAGTGGCACAATCTCGGCTCACTGCAACCTCCGCTTCCTGTGTTCAAGTGATTCTCCTGCCTCAGCCTCCCAAGTAGCTGGGATTATAGGCACCCACCACCATGCCCGGCTAATTTTTGTATTATTAGTAGAGACAGGGTTTCACCAAGTTGGCCAGGCTGGTCTCAAACTCCTGACCTCAAGTGATCCACCCACTTCAGCCTCCCAAAGTGCTGGGATTACAGGCATGAGCCACCATGCCCGGTTGGCTTCTGCCTTTCCACCTGTTCTGTGCTTCTGATGTTCCTGCCACTGTATGTAAGAATGATTTTGATCACGTGGTTGTGCTAGGACCTGTTCCAGACTAGAGACCTTCTGTGTCCCTGCCCCCTGCCCGCTTGGTGTTTGGCCCTGTTGTCCAGATACAGTTAGAGCAGAGTGTTTTCGTGAAGTGGAAGACATACCTTGCCTAGAGATCGCTCCCCCTTTTCCCCAGTGATCCATTCTCTGTGGGCAGGTGCTTTCCAGCCCCAGGGGAAAGGAGTAGGCCAGCCCGGCCACCTTCAGGTCTGCAGTCCCCAGCCCTTCTCTGTGCCTGCCTTTTCTTTAACCACACACTGCAGTTCAGCATAATTATCAAGCCGCTGTTTGAGTCATTCAAGGGCATGGTGTCCACCAGCAGCCTGGAGGAGCTGCACCGGACGGCGCTGTCCTGGCTGGACCAGCACTGCTCCCTGCCCATCCTCAGGCCAAGTGAGTGGGGCAGTGCCAGGGTGAGGGGCTTCATGCTAGTCCTGGAGGGAGGACGGCCCCAGGCTGAGGACAGTGTTTGCCAGACTCCATTGCAGGCAACCAGGTGGGGCCAGGGCAGGGGCACAATGCTGTCCAGGAGGCCCTCAGTCAGGAGCGTCCAGTGGGGGCGGGAGGCTCCTGCCCTCCCATGTCTCCCAGCCTGCTCAGACCCAGCTTGCATGGATCGAGTGCCCACTATTTGCCAGGCCCTGTATCAGGTGCCTTCAAGTGTGTTTTCTTGTGTAATTCTTATAATAACAAGCAAAGATGATCCTGTATGTTAAGGTTATAGAAGCTTAATATCAGAACAGCTGGCAGCCCCGTGGCACCAGGAACAGCATAGGATGCTCCGCCTACGGCAGCTCCTGCTAGGATTTGGGGAGGCTTCTGGAGGCAGAGGGGTGAGTGCCCAGGTCTTGGCGTAGGCCCCCAGCACTCCTCCCTGCAGTCCAGAGCGGCTGCCACTTGCCCCATGTCTGAGCATTCCCACATGGGTTGTAGGTACGAAACCGGGTGTGTGGTGTGTGGTGGTTCTGTGTCACTGCCCGTGTCTGACCCTTTCTGTCTTGCAGTGGTGTTGAACACGCTGCGGCAGCTGAGCACCTCCACCTCCATCCTCACAGACCCGGCACAGCTGCCGGAGCAGGCATCCAAGGCCGTCACCAGGATCGGCAAAAGACTGGGAGAGTCCTAGCTGCTTAGCTGGCATGCAGCCGCATGAGATGCCAGGAGACCCTTCCCTGCTCATGGAGAGTGGGCTGCGCCCCCCCAGCCCTTCCTGACGCTCAGCCTTGGGGCCTCTCTCCAACTCTGCTGGCCCACCGTGGCGTCGGGAGGCCATGCTCAGGTCTGAAGCAGGTTTGGGGCCTGCTGACAGCAATAGCCCGCCTTCGGGAACCCCTTGCTGTGAACTCTCTCACTCAGTGACCTCAGTCACCAACCTCTTCTGCCCTTGGGGCAGCCCAGACAAAAGGGAAGTGCTGGCCGTGCTGGTCCTGCCCTGCTGGTGGCCTGCCAGGCCTGGCGCCAGTGAGCAGAAGTGATGGGATGAGGGTGACAGGGCCTGCTCCTGTCCTGAGGCCCAGCCTTGTCCCTCCTGCCACGTCCTGTCTACATGCATGCCTCTGCCTGATGCCCTGCTCCACTCTCTGGCCTGCCCGTGGGGCAGTCGGAAGGCATCTTTCTTTCTCCCCTCAACTCTTGACAATGCCTGGCCCTCGTGGATGGACTTGGGCTTCTATTCAGGCTTATGCATGGCAGGCTGCCAGGAGGAAGTGCCTTCTTCAGAGAGCCTCCAGGACACATATGTGCAGAAACGGTGGATGTGGGACACACAGGACCAGAATGGAAGTGTGTGATGCACGGTGGCTGCTCTGGCTGAGAGGCCCTGCTGGGTGTGTTTCATCAGTCCCCTTTTAGCTCCACCTGACGTTGCAGGATCCACAGGGACTCAGCTTAGGACTTTCTCGAATGTCACCTCACCACCATGGCCCTTCTGCCATTCTTCTCTACTTGTCTCCAGCTGCAGCTGTTGACAGGTCAAGCGTGTCCAGTGGGAGCTTAGAACCCTGAAGTTCTAGTGTCCGAAAGATCAGACTCCATATCCTGCTGTCAGCCTTGTCATCTTGTCTGATGTCTTTCAGCTGGGTTCCCCAAACCAGGACAGTTCTCAGACCAAGGATGCCCCCACACTCAAAAGTCTGTCCTGTCTTGTGTTTGGAGAAGGAAACAATGTTGGCGGGCAGCACTCTGCGGCGGTCAGCCCTCAGAGCTGTCTCTAGGCATCTCTCAGATCAGACAGCAAAGAATCTACCCAGATCAGGGCTGGGTGGAGGCATGGCTGGGCTGGGGGCCATTTTGAGCCTGCAGCGGGAGGTTGGCCCAGCCTCAGTCCTTGCCCTTTTCCGGCTACCTCTGCAGGGAGCTGCAGGGGCAGGCACTCTCTCCAGCACTCAGGAAGCCCGGCTGAGGGTACCTCCTCGTGGAAAGAACGCACTTTAAAGCTCTGCTGAGGGGTTCGGAGCCCAGGCTTTCAGGCGACTTCTGCCCTCTCTGCCTCTCTTCACCCTCCCTCTCTGCCTGCAGGGCCTGGGAAGGGCTTTGAGGGAGCCTGAGAGTCGTGTGAAGAGGGGCACCCCGGGCTGTCCCCGAAGTTTAGATCCAGTTGGAGGTTCTCCCTGGCTCCTGCAGGCCTGCAGGGGTCTCTCCCCAGTTCAGGCCTCCGGCCAACTGCCTGCCCCCTTATCTGTGCTTCAGCCTTGCACAAAAGCAGCTTGGTGACACCACTCAGCCACTCAGAGCATGTGTTTACAGGCTTTCCAGATCACCTTCCTTTGGGGTGAACATAAGATGAGGCTGGGCTGGTCCTTGGAATTTCCCCTGGGAAATGGTAACAGACTCCATCCTTGACCCGGGGATAAGCATGAAGGCAATGTCCCAAAGGCAGAGGCCACGGTGGTAGGAATTCCACCAAGGCCAGAAGGGAAAAAGGAAGAGGCCACCGTGTCCAGCTGTGTGGGCCCTGGGGAGGGTCGTGAGTGCAGCCCTTCTCCACTTCCGTGCCTTTGTAAAATGTGTAGATAACCGCAGTGGTTGGCTGAGCCAAGAACTCTCCTAAGTCAGTGGCTTTCTCCCCACCCCTTGCTGGGGATTCATTCTTTTTAAACTCTGTGGGATATAAAATTGGCCTCCTGCTGCTTCGGCCTACCTCTCCCTCTGCTGACTTAATGTCATGATTCTGTTTCTTCAGGTATTTAAGGCTGTTAGGTTGTGTGAGCCTTGAAGGGGGTGTGTGTGTGTGTGTGTGTGTGTGTGTGTGTCCCAGCAACTGTCCACTGTCCAGGAGATGCATGTCTTTGTATTGGAGATATTTCTGTAACTCATTCTCTTGGTGCTCACGATTGCCATGGCCATAGGGCCACAGTGCCGTATCTCTGCTGCAGACATGATTGTTTCTTGTTCTAGAGGTTTTCTTGTTTTCAAATCTTGCCTGATGAATCCAGCCAGACCAAGGGGCCTAGATTTGACCCCTGTCCTGGGCTCCTGGGCCAGGTGCAGGGACATCTGAGGCCACTCTGCTGGCCGCCTCCAGTGGGAGCTGACCTCAGGGTGGGCTTTGTTTACACTCATTTTCACCCTGATTCTTGCCCCCACTTTCATAAAAGAAATTTCAAAATGCTGACGCTTTGGAGAGTAAGAAAATCAATCTTGGCTGGGCGCGGAGGCTCCTGCCTGTGATCCCAGCACTTTGGGAGGCTGAGGCTGGAGGATTAGTTGAGCTCAGGAGTTGGAGACCAACCCTAGCAACATAACAAGATCCTGTCTCTACAAAACAAAATTTAAATTAGCCGGGTGGGTGTGGCAGTGAGTGCCTGTGGTCCCAGCTACTTGGGGCTGAGGCTGGAGGATTACTTGAGCCTAGAAGTTGCAGTGAGCTATGATCATGCCACACTGTACTCCAGCCTGGACTGACAGAGTAAAACCCTGCCTCTAAATAAAAGAAAACAGAGGCCGAATGCGGTGACTCACACCTGTAATCTGAGCCCTTTGGGAGGCCAAAGTGGGTGGATCACCTGAGGTCGGTCCGGAGTTCACAACCAGCCTGACCAACATGGTGAAACCCTGTCTCTTCTAAAAATACAAAACATTAGCCGGGTGTGGTGGTGCACGCCTGTAATCCCAGCTACTGGGGAGGCTGAGTCAGGAGAATCACTTGAACCTGGGAGGCGGAGGTTGCAGTGAGCCGAGATTGCACCACTGCACTCCAGCCTGGGTGACAGAGCGAAACCCTATCTCAAAAAAAAAAAAAAAAAAAAAGAAAAAAATAGAAAATCCAAAAAGAAAAACCAAAAGTCCTGCTGGAATCCCTGGCGGGTTTCTGAGAAATCGCCCTGTGCTGTCAGCCCCTGCCCTGCACTGCTGCCTTCCGTGGTGGGTGGGAGACCCCAGAGCAGGGCAGGCGCTACTGAGGGCCTTTCTTGGAGTTGGCCGGCAGGCCACACAGCATCCGGCACCCTGGGTGGGCTGGCTGGCCACCTTCTTAGGACGTCTCTACTTTGGAGGATTTTACTGCAGGAAGCAGCGGCAGTGCTGGCCATTGGCGCTGATGACAACATTGGGTTTGGTTGAGGGGAAGGGGCTGGAAAGCAGCAGGCCCCCCAGTGCTGCACATGGTCCCGGAGCCGTCGGCCAGGGGAGTGGGGTCAGTGGTCAGCCAGCCCTCCCATTTCCTGCCTATGGGCCCTGACCACACTCCCTTTTCTAGAAGTCAATCCTAAGGTTTCTCTGCTCTGGCTAAGAGGGATGTAAATTTGGATTCTTGGAGGGCATCACACCCCCAGTCCCTGCCCAGATAAAGTGGCACAATGGCATGCGGCACCTCTTTCTGTTGCTGGGGTGGGGGGCTCACACACCCACCTCATCTCTGTGCAGAGCCCTGACTGGCCCCGCCGGCAGCTGGAGTACAGGTAAGGGCCTCTCTCAGAGGGGAGCTGTAGCCGGGAACTGGCAAGGCCCCTTCCTGCAAGGCCCTAGCTGGCCTCTGGGTGAACCTGAGGTGGCAGGTTCAAGTTTTCAAGATGGTGAGGTCTTGTCTGCTGGACAGGACATTATGCTCTCAGAACTCATGGGAGTGGAGCTGGGCCTGTCCTGGGCCAGTGGACCCCTGTGTGGGGGGAATTTGGGGTGCTGCGGGCCTGATTCTGCACTGGCAGATGGACTTTGCTTTAATCCAGCTCTTTCCTTACCCTGGCTCTGACGTGGGAAGGCTTGGAGGGCCCCTCTCATCACCCATGCTGGCCCTCAGCTGTCCCTTTCCTTTGTCGCCTGGCTCCTGCCTGAGGCCTCCTAGCAGGCACCCTGGGTGTGAGTTGAGCCTCTCTCTTTTCCCTCTGATGGGAAAGTGGCCTTTCCCTCGACACCTGCTCCCTGGCCCCAGAGGAACCCACCCGTTTTGGAGCTCAGCTTGGCCCAGCATTTCCTTGGGGAAGGGAAAGGAGAGCTGGACAGCATGATCCAGGCAGGCAGCGTGTGCAGTGGTGGCCGGCCAGGGTGCCACAGATGTACGGAGATGTGGCGTGTGGCTCCGGGCCCTCAACATCTCTGCTTTGGAGGATTTTACCTTGTCTGCACACCTGTCAGGGGAGAGGGGACAGCAAGGTGGGAGGTTGAAGAGCTTTGAGGCTCAGCAGCATGTTTGTGGCATTCGGTGGACTCCGTGGCCTTGGGCAGCTGGACAGGTTTTTGTGATGTGAGGGACATACATGGGGCACATGGGAAGCTTGACCAGGGCTCCAGGAACGCTGACAAAGCGTTTTAGGACCCCCACCCCCATGCCTGTACCAGGGCTGGCCTCCAGAGTGGGTGAGGACAGAGCAGCTGTGGGCTTTTCATTCTGAGGTCTTGGCCCGCCCTGGCTACCGCATGGGACTCTTTGCTTGTCAGGGCTTGCAAAAAATCAACCTTCGAGAAAGAAAAGGGAACTCTTCACGTTGAATGTTGACTCTGTGTGTGTGTGTGTGTGTGTGTGTGTGTGTGTGTGTGTGAGAGAGAGAGAGAGAGAGAGTGCGCATGCGCGTGTGCACTTGCACAAGCTTGCGTGTCCGTGTTTACTTCATGGAATTTTGTTTTTGTGAAATCCCCCTCCAATCATGTGTCAGAATTTACCTCCATGCCCCAGTCACACTGTTGGTTCTGCTCTCTGAACCCGGGTGTAGCTCATTTGAAGGACTCTCTTCTGTGTTTCCTAACAGTTATTTGGTGGTCTCAAGAGTTGAGGTTGTGGAGGGTTGGGAGAAACTGAAATTCTGTACATTTCCATAGAGTTTACATCCTGCAGTTAAAAGGCAGGAAGGGCTTAGCCCGGGCCCCACAGCTCCACGCCGCCCCCCACGGGCCGCCCACAGTGCCCCCGTTTCTCCAGCTGAATCTTTTTCGAACAGCCCAGGAAAGGAAAGCGGGTTCGCTTGCTGATTTTGTTCACAGCGGAAGCACCATGTTCTGTTCCTTTTTTAGGTTCAGTTTGTTGTGTAAACGGCGGTTTTTTCTGGTGTGAGCTTTGGTGATTGTGGCAGGGCTCCTCTGAGGAGACGGTTCCACCTCGTGGTTTGAAGAACAAACCAGAGAAGAGTCTGGTTTGGCCAGAGGACCCCTCTGGCCCACGTCACCCTGAGTACGCCCCTCTGATGCTCTGCTGTCAAAAAGCACGTTTCCACCAGCTGTATTCAACACTACAATGCATTTTTAAAACTATATTTGCATCCAAGACAATAAAGAAACCTTATTTTTTTTGAAAAGCCTGTGATGTGTGGCCTTAAATACTATCCTGTTGCGCAGTGGGAGAGATGGGAAAATGAAGAGATCTGAGCACAGGCCAGCTCGCTCCTTCTAATCTCGGGAGGTGTGATCAGCCTGGGATGGAGGCATCGGGTGGGAAAGAGGCCCAGGGTGGGAGGGCGATTCTGGAGGTGTGTCCAGAAAGTCAGTGCTCCTAAAGACAGGCCTCCCTGCAAAGGCTGATGAGAAAGGCCCAGTGTGGCAGGTTCTGCCTGTTTCCTCAGCAGGGGCTAGTGAGGCAGGCCACTGCTCCAGGCCGCACCCAGGTGGACAGAGCTCACTGGTGCCCCTGTAAACCTCTCATTTCCTCATCCAGGACTTGGGCAAACAGCACCAGGCCTGCACACTTGACAGTTTCACGTGAAATCACGTGTGTCTGCGTGTTCAGTAGCCCGTGGAGCTCTGTGCTTAGAGAGTGCAGTCATCAGCACAGCCAGCACTGGCCCAGCTCTGCAAGATCCTCAGTCACAGTGGGAACCTCCAGGCACTGTGGTTCCCCTGCTTATTATTGACTCAATACCAGAGATGGGAAAGACTAGAAAATTGACCAGTAGAAATGTCCCTTTGTTCAGGTGCTGAGAAGGTTTAGCTCATCTCTGTTTCATGTAGAAGCTTTTCTCCGCCATTTTCCTGGGCCCCACACCCACCCATCTGGCCCCTTGTGCCTGGACAGGGTGACCCAGCAAGAAGAGCCAGCCCCGCACGGAGCCGTGGGGTTGATTCACGAGATGACTGCCCAGATCTGGATCTCGATGTAGAATGCAGTGGGTTGATACACAAGCTCTTGTCTGATCAAACCTCCACGCCTCCCCTGAGGAGACACAAAGCAAGCCTGGGCCTTGAGAACCGGGGGTCCTCGAGAGAAAGGTGAACGCCTCACAGACTCCTTTGGGCTGGAAGGAACTCGGTTTCCACTGAGCTCAGCAACAAGTGTCTGTGTTAATGTTTTGAGCACAGCTCCATACCTACCTGGGATCCTAAAAGATGGTAGAGACGTGATTGGAGGAGAAAGCCGAGTTTTCTTTTGGGTTGGGGAGGGAGTAGCAGCGACAGGAGCAGGATCCGGAGGGAGCGAGGCCGGTGCCCTGGAGTCCCGTTCCTTGATGTGCACTGGGCCCTGCTCAGGCTTAACGTTTGCGGCTGCTGCAGGGGCACGTACAGCTCTGCACAGTTCTCAAGGTGGTGGCGTGGTTAATTCCATTTACAGATAAACCAGAGTCATATCTGAGGTAGCAAGGCCACATGGGTCAGAGAAGCCTAACAGGGCTTTTCCATCTTGTAAGTGGCCTCTCCATCCACCACTCACCAAGCCCAAATCCAGAGGGTTATCCCTGATGTCCTTTCTCTCCCCTCCCAATACCAAGTCCTGCCAAGTTTCTCTTCTCAGTTTCTTCTAAATACATCATCCGCTTTTCTCCGTCCCCGCTGCCATCCCCCCTGTCCAAGCCACGCCATTGCCCAAGCAGCTCAAGTAGTGACCTCGTCTGTCCTCCACATCACAGCACGAGCTTTCAAAACCCCAAGTCTAGCCAGGTCGCTCTTCAATCCTTCCAGTGCTTTCCAGATAAAGTTCTGGGCCCTCATGGAAGCCCTTCCCCTGCTTTCTTTGCTGTTTTTTCGTTTTCTGAACACACCAGGTTTGGTTTGGGTTTGCTCTTTACAGTTTTCCCAAGGCCTGTCTCCTCTCTCCAAGCCCTTCTCCATCTCTACTCTTTTCCTTCAGGTCTTTCTTTAAACATCAAATCCTCAGAAACCAGCCTTCATATGCCCTCCCCGCCGCACAGGTGCACGCACACATGGAGTCTTGGAGCAGCTCTCAGGACACCGATCACGTTAAATTACTCAGTTTCTCTTCCCCACCAGATTCCGAGCTCACCAGGACCAGGGCCTGGTGCCCCCGTACCTCGCACAGACCTGGCAGGAAGCAGATATCCAGACAGCCAGGGGACAAACCCTCCCCAAGCTCACCCCACTCTAGCTGCCTCTGCCCACAGCTCTGGGAACTGGTGGGGCAGGGGAGGAAAGGGGATCAGAGGGGCAGGGTTGAGCGACAGTAGGCGTTGACACTGAAGACTGTGTAGGTAATTTCAAAACTTCAACTTGAGTAATTGTAGCTATAAGACTAATCTCTAAATGGCGTGAAAAGCATTTCATCTTGATGTGGACTCGATTCTGTAGAACATGGTTTCCTTTATTTTCGGTAAAGATCTGAAATTAGACTTGTATAGAGTGGTGTGATTGAACTTATCCTGAAGTTTAATGCATGTACTTTTTACCTTTTTAGTTCAGAAAATCTCCAGTACACACAGAAATGGAGAATAGTATAATGAGCTCCTTCGTCATAATGAATGCCCATCATCTACTTTAACAATGATCAACTCCGGGCCGATTTTGTTTTCTTCTGAGACCTCACACTCACCTCCATTATTTTGAAGCACATTCCAGACACCATATGGATTTCATCTGTTAAGTATGCCTTTATTTTTTTCTTTTTTCTTTTTCTTTTTTTTTTGAGACAGGGTCTCACTCTGTTGCCCAGGCTGGAGTACAATGGTGCAGTCTCAGCTCACTAAAACCTCTGCCTTCCCGGGTTCAAGCAATTCCCGTACCCCCTCCTCTCGAGTAGCTGGGACTACAGGTGCCTGCCACCAGGCCGGGCTGATTTTTATATTTTTAGTAGGACAGAAGTTCACCATGTTGGCCAGCCTGGTCTCAAACTCCTGGCCTCAAGTGATCCACCCACCTTGGCCTTCCAAAGTGCTGGGATTACAGGCATGAGCCACTGCACCCGGCCGTAAGTATGCTTTTCAGTACGATTTCCAGAACTGCATATATACCTGCAAAGTTGGTCATTTAAAAGTTCCCAAAGGCTTTGTGAAAAGCAACAAAATGAGAAACCTGGGGAATGGGACATTCTGATTGATCAGATTTTCTGTTTCACTGAAAGTCATTAGCTAGAAAACCCTTATTGTGTAGAGAGGGGAAAAACTTTTTAAGATAACAGTCTACTTTCCTGCCTTAATGGGCTTGGTGCAGTGAGCAGTCTAATCTCTTCATCTAGTCTGACTGATTTTCACTCCTGGGGGAAGTACTGAACAGAGCTGGTTGGTTCCATTACAATTTTGCATTGGGGATGGGGCCTGAGTGATCAGGGATTAGCGGTCCTCCCCACCTGCCCCTGTCACCTGTCCCACAGCCCTGATTCCAACATGTTGGTGTCTCCCAAGTTCCCAGCGCCACCCATCAGTGGACTATAGTGACGTTGTGTCAACTTTCCTGTATGTACTGAGATCTGTGTAAATTTCTCTAGTTTCTGTCCCTCCTTTCCCTAATACTTGCTGTATTACCAACTCTTCCTTTTTTATTCTCCTTTGACCAAAATGTGGGTACTGGCCTGGTGCGGTGGCTCATGCCTATAATCCCAGCACTTTGGGAGGCCAAGGCTGGCAGATCACTTGAGGTCAGGAGTTTGAGACCAGCCTGGCCAGCATGGTGAAACCCTATCTCTACTAAAAATACAAAAAATTAGTCAGGTATGGTGGCAGGCGCCTGTAGTCCCAGCTACTCAGGAAGCTGAGGCAGGAGAATTGCTTGAACCCGGGAAGTGGAGGTTGCAGTGACCCAAGATTGAGCCACTTCACTCCAGCCTGGCGACGGAGTGAGACTCCCTCTCAAAAAAAAAAAAAAAAAAAAAAAAAGTCCAGGCACGGCGGCTCACGCCTGTAATCCCAGCACTTTGGGAGGCTGAGGCGGGTGGATCATGAGGTCAGGAGTTCAAGACCAGCCTGACCAATATGGTGAAACCGCGTCTCTACTAAAAATACAAAAATTAGCTGGGCGCAGTGGCAAGTGCCTGTAATCTCAGCTACTCAGGAGGTTGAGGCAGTAGAATCACTTGAACCTGGGCAGCAGAGGTTGCAGTGAGCCAAGATCACATCACTGCACTCAAGCCTGAGTGACAGTGAGACTCTGCCTTAAAAAAAAAAACAAAAAAAAAACAAAAAACACCCACAAATTAGCCAGGCGTGGTGGCACACATTTAATAATCCCAGATACTTGGGAGGCTGGGGTGGGAGGATCACTTGAACCCGGGAGGCAGAGGTTGCAGTGAGCCAACACCGTGCCACTGCACTCCATTCTGGGCAACAGAGTGAGACTCCATTAAAAAAAAAAAAAAAAAGGGCTGGGCGCGGTGGCTCATGTCTGTAATCCCAGCACTTTGGGTGGCCAAGGCGGGTGGATCACGAGGTCAGGAGATCAAGACCACGGTGAAACCCCATCTCTACTAAAAATACAAAATTAGCCGGGGTGGTGGCACATGCCTGTAATCCCAGCTACTCGGGGTGCTGAGGCAGGAGAATCACTTGAACCCGGGAAGTGGAGGTTGCCATGAGCCGAGATCACGCCATTGCACTCTAGCCTGGGCAAAAAGAGCGAAACTCTCAAAAAAACAAACAAACAAACAAAAAACAGTAGCTGGGCATGGTGGCGGGTGCCTGTCATCGCAGCTACTTAGGGTGCTGAGGCGGCAGAATTGCTTGAAACTGGAGGTGAAGGTTGCAGTGAGCTGAGATTGTGCTACTGCACTCCAGTCTGGGCGTCAAAGCGAGACTCTGCCTCAAAAAAAAAAAAAAAAAAAAACCAGATGTGTGTACTGAAGGTTGTATTTTAATGAGGCTTAGAGAATACAACAGTGACTTTATTGTAAATGCATTAAAATCTTTGTTGATACCTGCGATCGGTGTGGTAGGTGGCTTCTGAGCAGAGATCCACCAGCAAAGGGGTTGGGGGCAGGCCGAGGAGGTGGAAGGCAGGGCTCCCATGCACAGCCCTTTAGGGAAGGGCAGACTTCACAGAAACAGTGGCCAAATCTCACATCTGCAGAGGTTTTGTCTTTTCCTGGACCATTCCCTTTGCTACCCCCTGGGGCTTGCTCTTGTCAGTTATCTCTTCTGTCCCTTGC